GCTCTCTGCCAGGTCTCATAGACACTCAGTTTTGGGGCAGGGAGTAATTTTACAGCATTACCAGGGTGACTAAATGAAAATAAGGACATGTAGCAACTCCTGCTGCGTCCAGTACATGTTAAAGAGCAGTGTCCTCTTCCTGCCTGCTGCTGCTCAACTTCCTCGACCTTGGACCACTCTCCAGGGCCCCTCCTGTAGCTGACTGGGAAATGCTCCATCCCCCTGATGAACAGGGGAAGCCGTGATTACGCTAATCAACTGCTCATTAGTGCTACTTGGCTTCAGCTGATCATACACCAGCCCCGTGGTGTGCTGCCACCTCTGTCACCAGGGGATGCTGAAGTTCCTCAGCTGTGTTGCTATCCCTCCCTGGTTCTGCACGCACATGGAGAAGGGCCCCTCAGGGCTCTGCTGACATCTAGCAAGCAAGTCTCATCCCAGACGTGAGCTCTCTTTCAGACTGTGCTTCTGTCTCCTCTCCCACCTCCATCCTCACATCTCTCACAGCCACCTACCCCCACGGCAGCCTGTCTTGAACAGCACATGGGTGTTTAGTCCCCATGGCCACCACCTTGCCTCTCCCAGCAGCAGGCTTCCCAGGTCTGTGATGGAGATAGAGCTGCTCTGGTGTGTTTCACCCCCAGGTCTAACAGCCTGGCTGCAAGAAGCAGAGCCAGGAGAGAGTATTGTTGGCAATGAAATTGTACCCCATCAGGAGGCTGAGCCAGAGGATGGTGCTTTGCAGCTGCTATCCTTCCTCTTATCCTCGCCCCCCTCCATCCTGCCAGCCCCTGCTAATTCACACGAGGTAATTAACCAGTGCTCCATCAACTGCTTCCATACCACAGAAGGTGGCAGAGGGATATTTCTGCACGTGCACGCATGGAGTGCACCATTACCAGCTCAAAATCAAACACCAGGACAGAGCCAGGGAGAGCAGAGACCTCCACAGGCTTGGGCAGGATGTGGGGATGCTGATCTGCTGGGTGCACTGCAAAGCCTGGCTGCAATGTGGGGACCCAGACACCTGCTCCTACCAGCAATGGGGCAGGAGATCTCTTAAGATGGGCACTTGGAGAGATCTGATCCCTCAGCTGGAGGGAGCAGGGACCCTCAGTGCTGGAGCCCAAGGTGGCTCCAGCTCCTGCTTGTGGCCCTATGGATGTGACAGCTCCAAGAGCCAGGCCCTGGGCAGGCAGAAGTCACCACTGGTCTCATCCCTCCTCCTTCACAGCTGTGACATGGGACAGAAACTGCCCTGGGCTCCCTGCAGTCCCTGGGGACTCCCTACAGAAGCCACTGCCCTTCCCTTTGGGTCCATTATCCCTCAAGGAGGTCTCAAAACCAAGACCCAGCTCAGCAGAGTGCTAGGGACACACACACAGAGCTGTGTCCTGGTGAGTCTCAGCCTCTTCTGCCATCCCCATTGAAGGGTTAGGATGCAGCAGTGCTCTCCCCCTTCCCTTTCTTCCCTTGCTCCATCCTGTCAATCAGGCTCTGGCTTAGAAAGGCTTCCTCACACAACAGCCACACTGGCTTTACAGAGATGCAATTAAGATGAAACCCACTTATTTAAAGCAGCTCCTCTCCCAGTGTCCCTCTCTAATGTCACCTTTGATCACTGAAACCAGCCCAGCTCACAGATTGCCAGGGACACGTCCTCTCCCTCCTCCCCTTGCTCCATTCAGGCAAAACTCTTCCTGCTGGTGCTCCGAGCATTCTGCAGAGCAAAGGACCTGTCATTTTTGCACTGATCAGTGGGGAAAACAGAGCCAAATGCCCTGGCCGTGGCCCGTGAAGGTTGGAGAGGTCACAGAGATGATGCTGGCTGTTGGGCTCAGACAAGCTTGACCCAGGCACAGTGCTGCCCTGTGGTTTGTGCTGCAAATAAGGGTGGACTGCAGCAGGGCAGGGACCCCTGTACTAATATACCTGAAAGGAAATACCCTGAATGTACTGGGGGAGAGCAATCACTGATAGGGAAGGCTGGACCATTTCCACCACTTGTAACAATCTGTCCTGCTCGAAACCATCCCTTTGGCACAGGCTTAGCTTCAAACCCCCAGGCAGGCCCAGCTCCCACATGCATACAGGGGCTGCTGGATCAGGCTTTTCTTCTTAGCATCTATCTATCCCCCATCCATCTATCCACACATTTGATTGTCAGGCACTGAAAGCCCGGCTCTCTTTGCCATTAAATGCATCTATCAGGTTGCATTTTCTATTAGGCTGGAGGTTCCCTGCTTGTCAGCACTTCCACCCACACAGGCAGCTCTCTCCTGAACTCCTCTTGCTGCCTCCAAACCTCCCTGTGTCACATTTTCTTTGGAAATGGAGAGCAAATACACGTGTATCCCCCCTTCCACCCTCCCGGGGAGATGGCAAAGCAATTTACAGTGTTCCTGCAGGGACAGGCTTCTCCATCTGAACTCTTCAATTCATTCTGTTTTGTTTTGATTTGCAGGACAGGCGTCTCTTGCTGCAGGTGGAGAGCAGAGTGAGAAACTGCCCAGCTACAGAACATGGGTGATTTGCAGTTCATCACCAGCCCAGGGCCAAGTGCATCTCTACTGCCATTGCAGGGTGACACTTTAGTGCTTGGAAGCAGAAGCTGTCACGGCAAAAGTCTCAGCACTGGTATTCCAGCTCGTTGTGATCCCTAAAGATCACTGATTTAGCAGCTTGTGAGGATTTCTAAGGGTTGCTCCCCTACCTAGGTAACAGGTATGGGTCCTGGCCAGAGCTGGTGTGACCCTACAGTGAGAGACCTCAGCCCCTGGCTCAACTAGATCATTTGGTCATTGGTGACAGGGAGGAATTTGTCAGGTCTCAGCAGAAGATGTAGTTTTAGAGTCATCTCACTCCAACAGACTGCACCCCCCCCCCATTCCTCCTTTGGTTAGGAGCTGGGGACAGCAGGGAAAGGTTGAATGCACCCCTCTGCCCTTCTGGTCCATGATGCTACTTAAGCTTGAAGCTGGCTACCAAAATCTTGATGCTTCAGGAGAGGGGTACCAGTGGTGGTTTTGGGGAGGCCAGCAAATAACCCAGCCCTGGTGTTTCTTCTTGCCTGTCAATCAGTGCAGATGGGGCATCGCTAATGCGCTGAGAGCCGGGGCCTCTTCAGAGCGGCTTGTACGAAGCAGAGCTGATGAGGTGCGGCAGGGCTCCCCCAGCACACGCTGCTGCAGCAGCCACAGAGGGTTAAACACGAAGCAAACGGTTTCTCAGGAGCGCAACGTGCTCTGCTCACAGCCTCTGAGCTTTAAACAGTGACTGCCTGAGCCGCCTGCCCCTTCTGGGTCCCTCCTCCTGCCCTCTCGCTGTGCGGAGACCGGCTTCTGTCACTTAAAGGTGTGATCAGGAAATGAAGGGCTTTTAAAAGCACTGCTATTAAGAACAATACAAATAACAGAGCAGGAACATATGTCTCTCCGCAGGCCCATCACCTTCTGCTTGCTTGGATTGAAGTGTTTTGCCATCAGAGCGTGACAACATGCTGATACATCACCCGAGCCGCAAAGCTGCTGGCTTTATTACTGTTATTAACCAGGCTTTCCAAAAAAAGGCAGCAGCACAGCGTGTGCAAGTGCCTGCGTGTCAGCCCACCCTCCTAACCTACTAATCGGTCAGCTAATCACACCCACATAACTTAACACGTGGATAGAGGTTGACAGAAGACTCAGTTTGTGCATGTGCCACTGGGAAACAGGCAGTGGGATGGGGCAGAGCCCCAGTGACCACCCTGCTGAGACAGCTCAGCCCCTTTGTAGACATCAGAGAGAGCCCCGGGAGGGCTTTCAATACCCAACCTCATACCTCTTTAGACAGCAGGGAAACATATTAAAAAACACAGGCTGTGGGTTCTTTCAAGCTCTGCTGCTCAGGGAACATCTTGCTGATTCTCTGGTCCAGGATGGAGCCAGCACCAAGCTACAGGACCCAGGGGAGGCTGGGGCTGAGCCCTCTGTTGTGCCTTAACACTGGCAGGGCACAGTTCCCCAAGCCTGGGTTTGACATAGATGCTCACACATCCCATGTCCCAGAGAGACTCCCAAGGGGATTTTCAGTACCTGCAGCCTGGGCTGGCTAGACAGGGATAACTGGTCACCCTAACCCGGACTCAGCAGCTGTGCAGTGCTCCTCCCCAGGGACCCAGTCCTGGTTTGAACAGTCAAGCAGCCTTGTGATAGCTATATTAGCCTTATTCATGGTCATTCCTCCAGTCCCACACAGTTCAGCCCCACTGCTAACACCACAGTTCCCAGTCAGACCTTTCTGGACACTGAGTCTCAGAGGCTTTCCATCTCATCCCTCCATATTCTTCAATTAATTGGCCCCAAGGACTGTTTGTTTTCTCATGGGATGCTCAGGAAACAGTTTAAGAAGGTCAGAGCTGCCTATCTCCTTTAACAGCCCAAGGGAAGAGCAGGGAATATCAGCCTTCACACACACTACTGCAGGCAATGCTGCATGCTCAGGAGTAGAAGACCGAGGTTCCACTGCCTGGGTGACATCCAAGCCACCATCCATCACCCCAGTGCTAACCCAGGCAAGCAGCCAGACTGGCAGGCACATGGAGGGTTTCCCATGGAAAGCTGAAGTCAGTCCAAGTCGTGGGCACAAATCAGCCAAGAATCCTTGTTCCTCCTGCTGCAGAACCCCGAGGAGCTGGGGGATGTCTCCATTGATCATACGAGGTTTTAGGCAAGCCCACTCGCACACAGCTCTAACCAGGCTTCTCACTACAGGATCGCTCTGTTGAGCAATATACACACAGGCTCTTAGCTAAACAGCAGGTCTGGAGCAGTTTGTTCTTGCTCTTATTTTATTCCCTCATTACTAAGGCAAATAATGTGTTTAAGTAAGCAGAGAGGCATTGTTCTTGATACTTTACATGCTTCCTGTTGAAAGCAAACTGCCCTGATATGAGTTTGTGTGAGGCAGATAAAGACCTTTGTAACTGCCCCTCCTCTAGTAAAATCCCAGTTATTACTCACCTGACTTAGGCTCTTCTGTCCCCTTGGTTGGGGCAGGAAGGGATGATTTCACCCTGTCCATCAATTTAATCCCTGGCCACATCAAACTGCTATGTGTTTGTGCACAAACAGCATTCAAGGACTGACCAACTTCTTTAAGGGGGGAAGCCCCAAGTGCCCAAATGAGCTCTGGGATGGAGCATGTCCCAGCACCAGGCTGTTTGGACTGGCAATAAGAAACTACAAAGAAAGAAGAAGTGGCATCTAAAGATCAATCCCTACCAAAGGCTTGAAACTGAGCCAAACTTCTGGCCAGGGTTTAAACCACACAGCAGCACACCCATAGAGTGAAACAGCAAAATAAATGAAGCCACCGAAGCAGTCACACTCCTACCATCTCCAAGGTCAGGATTTTCACACCTCCCTCTCCTGTGTATTGGCTTTCAGAGTCCATTTTTCACAGGTACAGAGAGTCACAAGGCTGGGAGATAAAACAACACAACTCAGGGAAGTGACTTCAAACGCAGTCATCCCTTGTCTCCCAGCAACAGCTGTGCCTTCTCCTCCTTGCTCCCCTTCCAGCCTCTCACAGCTGGCAGAGAGCTTAGGAACAAACAAGGCTCCCTGCAGCGAGGGTTGCTTAGGAAGGTCTGAGGCTTCAGTCAAGCATGAGGATCATCTCTTCACCTGCAGAGGTGACAGCTCTTGGTTCGTTTTCAACCATCAGCTCTCAGACCCTGTGTCTGTGCAGATCCCAACCCCGTTCCAGACAGTGTCAGTGTCTGATGCTCAGCGTCAACAAGGCAGCTGTGTTTTCACCCAGCTCTAACCCTGGGGGAGGAGGTAGAACATAAGCATGTGAGAAGACACTGTCACCTCACCCTCTCTAACCAGTCACGTTAACCCCAGGACAAGTTCCTTGGGTTTGTGTTATTAATGCTACTGAACAGGACTTTTCAAAGGGTGGATTTTGCTCTAAGAGTCCTCTCTGTGCCTGTCTCAGGAGGGAAATTAGTCTGAGCCTCCTCCAGAGCTTTTACTTTTTCCAGTTAATAAATGAATAATCAGCATCATTTCATGCCAATTGCTTTGTGTTCCTAGAGCACAGAGGTTCCCTGCTCCTCTGCTACCAACCCCTCTGCTCCTTTCCATTAAACTAAGTGCTAAACCACAACTTCCACATCCTCAAAATCATTTACACAACTGGTGTCGCAATGGAGCCCGGCATGGGCAGAAGCAGATGCTCACTGGCACATTTAAAGCTGAGCACAGCATTTGAGGACTTCCAGGAAAGACTTGTTGAGAAGAGACTGTGGCACCTCTTCTGAGGTGGCTCTGAAAGGACTCCATCAGGTTACCCACATGCATGGTCAGCAATGCCTGCCTGGGGACAGCAGAATTTCACACCTCTACAGATGTGTTTTCATTACATTTCCAGCTGTCCTCACTTCAGCTATCAGGAAATGCCAGAGGAAGGACAAATGATTTTCTGGCCGGTGTTGGAAACATAGCCATCAAACACCTATTTCAGCTTCCAGATGGTTTGGACTGCCTGCATAATGGGGAAAATCACTGAAAGCCTCACTGAAACTATTTTGGAAACATACTGTGGGTGTCCCTCCATCGCTTACTGGTCTCAGTGATGATGGGGGTACCAGAAAGATTTTCTTCAGAGCATTAGGGTAGGCTTTACACCACCCCTTTGTCTATCCTAGGCAGAAGGTAGGAAAGCTTTCTATGCCATGAGATTTCCTCTAGAAAATTTCATGCCAAAAATCCAAGGGAAGGATAGAAAGACAAGGGTAGAAAACTAGCCCCATGTAGGTAAGTCCCGCACAGCCAGTGATGAACTCAAGGACCTTAGCAGGTCCTGGGTACTCATGGCCAAAGGCAAGATGAATGTCTATATCGCTGAAGGCAGACCTGTCTGGTCAGCTGTTCCTATTGCCACCAACATTTGCGTGCCATCATCTGGGCAATCAAGAGTAATAGCTGTTAGCAAGTGCATTCAGCACACACTAGGGATGCAGTGTCTCAGCCACAAGAAGGACTTCAGGATCCCTGGGGAACAGGGCAGCAGCAGCAACGTTGTGTTTAGAGCAACTGTGATACACACTGGATTTAACCACGGCAGCTACCAGGATTTAGGGTCAGTCACAAATACAGGACCATATTTGAGTTCACTACCTCAGTTTCTACCCCAATGGCATATTGTTCTTGGCATCACGATCTTGCAGAGAAAGCAAGCTGGGCCCTGCTCATAACACATGTGAGCCATCTCCATTACACTGAGGGGAATCTCTCCATCGCCGTCCAAGGATGCTGGATCAAAGCTTCCTTAGCTGCAAGGCTGCCAGAGGGAGGCAAAGCGCTGTGAACCAAGGTGCAGGCCATGAAGGTGCTGCAGTGTCCCGCAGCCACTTAGAGGCAGAACAGCTCTTCTGCCCCTTTTCCTCTGAGTGCAAAACAGCAGTCGAGTTATTCAAGCACCAGCTGGGCTGGCAGAAACAACTCTCTCAAATCTGCCTGCAAAGCCAGAGAGGAACAAGGTGCCGCTTGACTTCCTCTTGGGTGCCCCTCTGGGCTCTGGGGCACCTGCCACCCTGCTTGCCACACGTGTTTGTGGGCATATCCTCAAGCTGTGTTTACAAAGGGATTTCAGGCTCTTTTAGGGCAAGACGTTGCTATAGAAACTGCAGATGGGAGATTGAGCTCCCTGGGAGAACGCCTGGACTCCACTGGCTTAATAGGAAAGCCCATCAGGGGAATACATCTGGCTGGAGGTGGAGCAAGTCTGTTTTAATGAACACAACCTCCTTTTGGGGAAATGGGAGACTGAATTTCTGCAGCCCTCTGGAAAGCCAAAATGTTTCCATTGCAAGAAGAAGGCCCACACAAGGGACACCAGGAGACGCTTCCAGCCTTGGTGGGATCTGGCCACCTACCAGGGTCTGGAGCTCAACCACCCCACCAGAAAGCTTCTACCCAGATGGAACCTGGGCTCATTCCATGAAGACATCTGCACCAGAATCATTAAAAAGGGGATCAGCTCTGATCCTGACAAGAGCCATTTCGAAACGCAAGCTGCAGACCAAGAAAATAGTAAGTCAGCCCCAGGGGCACATCTTCCCAAAGGAGGAATCTGACCACGGGAGTCAAGCCTTGGCTGCAGGTTGGTGCTTGTCCCTTTTCTTGTTTCCTCCTCCCTTGAGCAGGAGGGGAGGAATACAGAACACACGGACACAAAACCCCACATCCCCTGCAATAAGAACCTTCCCAAGAACAGGCTCTGTGCAAAGCTCACCCAGGGCTCATCAGCAAAAGGCCACGATTAAGTGCTGATATAACAGGACATTTCCATTTCCAAAGGCAGAGCTACCACACAGCCCCAAGTAAACCTCTTCACAATCAGCCTGTGTTGAAACAAACCCAATCAGTTCGACACTGAGAACGAGTGTCCCTCCATGGATCTCTGCAGGGAGCTGATATGATTATAGAGTATGCTGGGAGGCACTGGAAAGCACCCAGTGAGGGGCTGCAGAGAAGAAAATCAGAGAGGAGTTTCAGGCTAGAGAGCCTGTGAGCTGTAAGCTCAACTGGGTGAAATAAGAGACAGTGGGAGGAAAGTCTGCCTTGAAAGGAGCTGCAGATACTCCTATAACCTGGCTGCTGAAGACTATGATTTTCCATGGTCTTTGTGTCCCGAAGAGCTGAGAATGCAAGGAAGGAAAGCTTTACCCTGTTAAAATCTGGTGACTGTAGCCCCAAGGAGAGAATCTTCCTGCACCTGCAACCAGCACCACAAAACCTTCAGAGCCAAGAAGCACTTCCTGCATCCCGGATGGCTGAAGCCTTGCCATGGTGACAGGGTGGAGGTGACATTTCCTTAGCCTCGTGAATAGGCAGGGTAATGCTGGCAGCTGGTTCCTTGGGTGCTGTCTCCCCAGGCAGGCAGCCTGGTCACCCCTCCACCCCACAGGCAACAGGGCTCAGATGCAGCAGCCAGCAGCCATGTCTCGCAAGCATCAATAAGGTCAGCTCCAAGGCGATGCCTTTAGAATGAACTTGAGCCCCACAGTGACAGAAACCAACATATCACCAACTGACCCTAAGCTGAACACCCCAGCACCTATCACATGTTGTCACTTGCTGTCACTCGCCCCTCTCCCCAGGACTGTTTCCCAAGCAGGTAGAATTTGTCTTTCCCAGCAGCTGGGTCAGGCAAACCCTGCCAAAAGTCATAACCCCCCTCCCAAAAAAGAGGCAAAACTTGTGCCCAAATTCACCCACTTCTGCCACCACTGAGGCCTCATTCACACACATCTTCCAGGAGACACCTAGGCCAGAGTCACCGGTTTAACCTTTCTGCTCACCCCCATCTCCTCGCTTTAAAGTAGAATGCCTATTTAACAGCAAGAGAAAAGAAAGGCAGGAAACAGACACAGCACCCCATGGAAGTGGGGATCAAAGGACACAAGAGGACAGAAATAGACCTGAGAGCAAGGCAGGTGCTTTGGGGAGGAATGTGTGTGCGCTGTGCCTGGCAGGAGTCAGGACACCCTCCCCTTGGCAGGCAGCAGGATGCAGAGATACACAGGGAAATGCAGAGATGCGCTGATGGTAACTGAACAAATCCTGCTGGAGTCAGGCTGGAGCTTTCCCCTGCAGCAGAGGCTTCAAAGGCAGTTGTACTCACTGACTGGAGAGCAGAGAAACCTCCAGAAATGGTATCAGCAGGACACAGACTGAAGCAGCTCTCTTACACTGATAGCAATGCACAAGGAGAACCTCTTGGCTGGGACCAGCTCAGTTTGTGTTTCACACGGGACCATTTGGGAAGCTTTAGTTAAGAAAAATGACTTTTTAGGTTTCGAGTATGGAAATGGTGAGGGCTGCCTGGGATAGTGAAAAACTGGAAGCTTGACCCAAATGGTTTTGAGTGTAGCATCCCTGACCACAACCATACCTGAGAGCACTGAGGGTGTGGGAACAAAGGGAGTGATTTACCCAGGTGGAAGAGGAGGAACTGTCTCTCAATGATCTCTCTCCTAAAAGCACAGCATGGCACTAACTCCTCTAAGCTTACCAAGC